CAGGGGCATGATCCTGAAGCCGCACTTCCACAAGGACTGGCAGCGGCGAGTGGCCACCTGGTTCAACCAGCCCGCCCGGAAGATCCGCAGGTGAGCGCCGGCCACCGCCGGCCGGGGGCCACGGAAGTACCGCGGGTTTCGCTTAAGCTTTTCCTAGACTTTATTTGGGCAAAGGACGAGGCGCTTGTGGGGTGCGGGGTGCCCGGCCGGGTTTGGCAGCAGCGCGTGTGGTGGCAGCTGCAGTCAAGTGATGAGAAGTCTCCGGAATCGCTGTACCACGTTGATGATTCCCTTGAACCCTTGTATATCTGATGACTGCGGCTGCATAGACGCACATATCGCTCTCGGCTGTTAGGCCAGCCCTGGGTTGGCTCTCGAGAGATGCCCGGGCAGGAGGTGCTGCCCAGAAGGGAGCTCGGTTGGCTTTTTACAGGTGACAGATCCAACAGAAACGTTATCTCCCTGATTGTTTGTCCCCCTCCAGGAGGAAGGCTCGTCAAGCAAAGGCTCGCCGCATCGCCCCGCGTCCCGTGGCTGGGCCCATCCGGCCTATCGTGAGGTGCCCTACTGTTAGGTACCACACTAAAGTCCGCGCTGGTAGAGGCTTCAGCCTAGAAGAGCTTAAAGTAAGTACGGAGGATTGATCCTGAAGTTAGTGTGTTCTGATGCCTTAAAGCTGGTTGGTTTGTTCATTGTAAGTAGAAGTTGTGACTTGGTTCAGTTCTGCTTTCCTCAGGGAATAGAGCTGGAGCTCGCTTGTCCTGTCGTCTGGTTCTGTATGTAGGCGATGTGTAAGTAGCTGTGGCTTGCTGAAGCATCAGGATGTGCTCAAGCTGGCTGGGACAGCGTTTAGCTAGGGGGAAACTTCTGATTTTGTTGCCTGTAAGGGGTAAAATTAAATGTTTTTGTGTACCTCTCTGTAACTGGGATGGGGGAGCAATAGCGTGTGTCAAAATGAAAGGCTGGTTGAAAAGTAAATATCAGTCTGCGTGGTCAGACTGTCAATTAAAAATCTGATTCTGATAGAGCCTTAATTAAGACTCCTAAGCCTCTTAAAAAAAAAAAAAACCTGCTTTTTGTTGAATACTTTTGTTTCCTTGTGAGACGTTTTATGCATATTCTACAGGATTTAGCCTGTGTGAACCCATTTGTGCTGTGGAACAATTAAACCGTGATCAGCTCATTTGTAACAGAAGTAAATGGTGTTGTGCCAAGACACGTAATAATCCTGCTGGGTTTTTCATGTGAGCTACAAGTTGGCTTAGCAGTACTGAAACCGTGGGAAGCGTTCAGTGCCTTACCCTTGCTTCAAGAAAAGGTCCTCTTATAAGGTCTTCTCAGGCGTGTTTCTTAGCTGCTGAGCTGCTAAACGCTAGAACGTGGTGACCTGCAGAACCCACCACGTATTCCCACATATTGGGCAGGAATGAATGTTAATGTTTGCTGGCAGCCAGCATCCGCAATCTCCTCTTGTGCGTTTGGTATCTAATTAAAATATTTATAACAGTGACATTAGTGCATTGAAGCAGTAAAATTGTTCTTCTGAATGCTAAGTGCTGCATTACTTTGTGTTCTGCAATTATCTGAAAATTAAAACCAAAATGGTACGTAGGTAATTTTTATCTTTTAAACAGAAAATGAGATTATTTTTTGTTTAAGAACTTTTTTCCACTTCTTCTGTAAAGGGTGCTTCTGGTATTCAGTTATCCACAGTTATCCGAGTCCCAACTTCATAAATTTCTCACTAGCATGTATCAGAGTGTAAGCGTCCCACTCATAATCAGCTCTGGGGTTGCACTTCCCTGTCTTGAGAGAATCCATCTGCAAAAACTATGTAGTATAAGGTGCGTGTGATGTTTTAACTACTGAAGGACACTTTGCTGCGTGTATCGTAGTTCAGTGCCTTTTGCCAGACCATCACGCTGCTGATGGGCCGCAGGGTCAGATGATGACGCTTTCTCCGGAATCTCTGCAGGCTGTGATGACTGTACTTGAACCCTTTTCTGGCTGATGACCAAAGCGGCTCCCTTCAGTAGCGCACTGGCATTAGGCGTTCTTGAATACTGACAGTGCGTAATTTCTCTTTAGCTGGCTGGCATTAACAAAAAGTTTGCCCGGACTATTGGAATCTCTGTGGATCCCAGGCGACGTAACAAGTCTACAGAGTCCCTGCAAGCCAACGTGCAGAGACTGAAGGAGTACCGCTCCAAGCTTATCCTCTTCCCACGGAAGCCTTCTGCACCTAAGAAAGGAGATAGTTCTGTAAGTACTTGACTGTTTTTTTAAAAAAAAAAAAAAAAAAAAACAAACCAACAACAACCACCACACACGCCTCACAGAATTTGTTTCAGATAGCTTTTGCAGAGATTTGGTTATTAGCTTGTCTTTCTGGTGCTTTGGTGTGCAGTCAAAAAGCATTTTCAGACGCTTTTCGGAACATAAGCTTCCTAGATGGGGAGGAGCCCTTTCCTGGGAGGGCCGCCTTGTTGCCCGTGCATCTGTGTAGAGGATGTCTGAGCGCAGTACAAGGCAGGGCCTGATGAGAACTGATTTCTACAACAATCTCTTGTGTTATAAGCTGCTTTGGGCTACTTGGAGCACAGTGACGCTTTGGAATGGCTTTAGACATAGGGACTGCTAGGCTACTGAGGAGGTGCAGCTCAGATTTGGGGCTGAACTGCTTGGGTGGTCTTGGTCCCTGGGATGCTTTGATCTTTGCCTAACCAGTTGAATTTGAGTTTGTGAGGCAAAATTGTCAAGAGTAGCTGAAAAGTCTGTTGTCTGGGATACCTATTGTGCTGTGGTAAGTATTGCATAGAAAAGGTACGGAAGGCAAGCACCAAGTATTTTCACTTGTGTAACTTAGTGAAACTCGGTGATTAAGTTCACTCTGTGAAGATCGTTGCTGTTGACTTAAAAAATGTTTTTTGCTGGAATCTCAGCAAGATTCAGAGTAGAGTTGGCTTTCCTTGTCCGTTCTTGCTCTAACTGTGAAAAATGCCTTCTTCCTG